TGACAAAGAATAATAATTTTTAAATGATTTTCATTTGTTTATAATATACAAAGATGTAATACTCACCAAGAGAAAAATAGAAAGGGAACGAAATGAAACACTGAGCAATGAAGACAGGCTATGATCAAATGAAACAACTTTGCTGTGCTTTGCTAGGACTGAGGTAGTACTTGCCTGCAGTGAAGTGTGAGCAAGCATGTGTATTATTCGCAAATACACTATCACATTCTCTAGAGAAGCAGTACTCTACACCACAAATGAAGACTCAATTGATTAAAAAAAAAACCTAAACCAATTTATATAAAATTTCCAGACTATAACAGAATTTTATTTTATATTATTATTTTTCTAAAGGAGAAAACGTTTATTTCAGCTCACAATTTGCAGAAATTTTAGTCTATAGTTGGCTGGCACTGAGGCAAGGTGACAGAACAAGGAGTGTCACAGAGGAGAAAAAGGCCACAGCAAGCAGGCAGGAGACAGTATGCAGCAAGCAGCAGCCTATAATAGAATGTTATATTAAAAAAAGGAGTTTGTGGACAGGATATCATGTCTGCATCTTGTACTACGAATAACCACTAAGATAATATACAATGTGTTAGTTATTGAAACTGTCCTACTAATCTGTTTTGAAACTGTCTCATTGCTATTTGTTTCCCAATAACATTATTTAAAAAAGGAAATAAATCTCAGAAACCTTCATATACGTGAAAGTTGAAGAGCTTACATAAATGGACAAAGGAAAATTCAAAGATAAAATTTCAAAATATTTTCAATTGCATTGAACATAAGGATTGCATATCAAAATGTACAGGGTGCTATGGAAGCAGGGCTAGAAGGGCATTCGTTGCTTTGGATGTCTGCATTAGGAAATAACAGAAGTCTCACATCAATAACCTAATGCTGTGTATTAAGAAACCGGAGGAGGGTAAAGTCAATTAGTCCAAGAGACCGGAGGAGGATAAAGTCAATTAGTCCAATGCAGTTATCAGGAAAATGTTAAACAAAGCAGAAATGGAAAAAAAGAAAAGAAAAAGAACTCAAGAGAAAAATTAGTAAAATGAAAAACTTGTGGTATGTGAAGATCAACAAAATCAACAAATATAACCAAAAACAATAAACATTGTTATCCCCTGAAAAAATAAAGCAGATAATGCATACATTGTCAAACCTAGGTATAAAAAAGAAGGCATGACACCTGACTACAGAAATAAATTCCTATGAAGGTAAATATTATAATGAATCATGTGCCAAAATTTAGAACCTTGACATAAACAGAAAAATCCCTGGAAAGAAAAATTCATTCAAAACTGACTTAAGAAGAAATAGAATATCTAAATAGACCTATGAGGAGTAATAATGTTGAATTGGTAACTTAAGAAACAAAATTTCCCACAAAGAGGGCCGGGGAGATGGCTCAGTAGAATAAGCACTTACTTGGCAAGCACAAGGGCCTGAGTTCAATCCCTGGTACCACCACCACCCCCCCCAAAAAAAAACTCCCATAAAGAAAAGCCTTGTCCAGATGGCTCCCTAGAATAATTCTAGAAAATATTTAAAGAAGAAATAACACTAATGCTGTGAAAAATTTTTAGAAAATAAGAAAACTAGGGATGCTTCCTGAAATATTTGGTAAAGCCAATACTATGCTGATACAAAACCAGGAAAAAATTTAAAAAGAATATCACAAATACATGTCCCTAATGTGAATTGATAAAAACTAACAAAATGTTAGCACACTGACTCCAATAACATGTAAAAAGAATTTTCCATCATAATCAAGAACAATTCACCCCAGGATATCAAGATTGATTTAATATCTGAAAATTAATGTAGTAAACTTTTTAAAAATAAAAGACAAGTTATATAAAATCATCTCAATAAAGCATTTAACAGAATTCAACATTTATTAGAAAAAAGAATTCAAAAATCTGGAAATTGGCCTATGCTGATAAAGGACAGCTACGCCAAAAGTAAAGCTAATACCATACTTAATAGATTGCTTATCCCTTGAGATTAAAATGTTCACTTTTTCTACTTCAGTTCAACATAAAAAGATCTCTCTAGTGTAATAACCTAAGGAAAAAATAAAGCTATATAGATGATAATCAATATTGCTTTTATTCACAAATGACAGGATCCTCTATGTGGAAAGAGCCTAGGGGACAGGATGAATAAACAAGTTTAACAGGCTTTCAGGTTCAGTGCAAACAAATGTACAATGAGATGCTATGTATCAAGTGTATGGAGAAACTGGAACTGTCATACATTGCTGGCTGTGAACATAAAACCACAGAATTACTTGAGAAACAACTTGTCTGAGTATTTCTTTTTTTCTATATTTTTTAGGGAAGGGTCTACAGAGTGTTCAGGGTCTCACTACTAGATCGGACTCATTGTGATTCTCTTGTTTACAGCCTTCCAAGAGCTGGGATTATAGGAGTGTGCCACCACGCCCAGTCTCGATCACCTGTTCAGCATGATCTGGGGGGTGGGGGGCGCGGTACCAGCATGGCAGGCCCGGGGATCGAACCCCTGACCCTTGTGCTTGTTTGCAGGATCCGGCCCATCTGAGTGTTTCTTAAAAAGTTAAATGTGTACTTAGTATAAACCTAGCCATTATACTCTTAGGTACTTACCCAAGGAAAATTAAAACATATAGAGTCAGAAGTTTGTCGGTGAATGCTCCTTATGTCATCAGTTTTATAACAAAACTTATAAGTAACAGTTTTATAACAAAAATTATAAGTAATATACATGTACATTTTGCAGGTTAAACAAAATGTGATTCATACATTCAGTGGAATGCTGTTTAACAGTCAAAGAGAGTAAAATCTGAGATAGTCTGGGGGAACCCCAAATGTGAAAAATCCAGACAGAAAAGTTTACCTATTTTATAATTCTATTTACATGAAATTCCTAAAAAAGGAAACCCTATCCAAACAGAAAATATACCATTGATTGCCTAGGTTTGATTGCAGAAGAGAAAACTGACTACAAATTGTTACAAGAAATCTTTCTGGAGTGATAAGAATGTCCTTATTTGCATTTATGGTGACAAAAATCCATAATTTATTAGATACCAATACAACTAATGATTTACCAACTTGATGTTTAACTCTGTTAGTGCTGTTAAGAAAAGACCACAAGATCACAGGACTCTGAAGCCTGTATAAACTCACACACGTGAGCCAGCGAGCGCCACTCTGTTGCTCAGGGGAGCAGGACTTGAGGAAAGCCCATGTACTTCCGACGCATGATCAATTCTTGCAGGCCTTTCTATCCAGGGAGGGGAGCCCGAACGATACAGGGCCAGCTGTGCTTTAAATACAATCTTGCTTAGAATACAAGTTAAGAATTGTAATAACTATATTCGCAAAGCACTCAGGTTGGTTTGTGGGTGGCAGAAGAAACGGGGTTTGACAATGTCTTGAAAACACCAGGTGCTCTCGAACCTCTTACTAAGTTGAAAGAACTGTTCCTTAGCTGGGGCTGCGCGTCATTTGCACCTCATGAGTCCATGATTTGTTCTCCAACCGCTCACGGCCTAGGGCAGTGGGGGCGAGGACTAGACAACAAAAGCATAGCTGGTAGGCGAAAGGAAACTTTAGGACTTTCAAGGTTGTGTATTTTGTTACTGTTTTTTGTTTGGGTATGCAATTATTTACTGACCAGCATTTATTGGCAAATATGGACATACAAATTTCCCCCTGGTATTTTTGCTGGATGTGACAATGGAAGCAAGAGTCCATTAAGATAGGTAAGCTTGGCATACTGCACGTGTTTATGACCAGCTCCATAAAACATAACCCTACTCACTGCTGTTTCACTGTCCTCTGTTTTTCCCATGTCCTGAGGTATTCAACATGTGTGCATTTATTTCTAGAGAGGTAGTTTGTTATCATTATATTGTCATTCCTTTTTATTACAGATATTCATTGTTTTTATGTGCTCTGTCATGATTTATTCACAATTTTCTTGTAATTGCATAGGATTATAATTGTCATAAAAGTATTTGAAAATGCATAATACAGTATGAAGCACTGATCAATTGTAAGGCTTTAACACTACAAAACTAGAACACTTTGAAGACAATGAATCAATTACATTTGATTCTTTTTTTAAAATGTCACCTTAATAAGCTCAAAGAAAAATTAGTGTGAATGAAACAAGAAATGATCATGTTAGGATAAACACATGGTTATAAATATAATTTATACGATAATTGAGATATTAAGTTTACTCACTACATTAATGTGTTTTGTTTGGCTTTGTGATACTTTGTTTGAGAAACACAACATAAAGTAAACTGTAGCATTAAGAGCCAGCCTCGTTCCAATTTATTTTTATAGCATAGTGCAAAACAACTCAAGCTTATAGTACATTCAGGCGCTCAGACTTAAATCCCTAATGGGAAGGAAGTGGTTCCATAAACAGATGTGATCATGGATTCTGAGTTTATTTGCTTGTGGCAAAAATAAAAGTACCAACTCAATAAGTTTTAATTTATAAGCATCTATATCAGAAAGCCTTTGGGCGCTTTGAACAAAACTGACTAAAAATAAATTTTAATAAAATAAAACTTCATCTGCCCCATTCTCATTCACACCAGGGAATGTAAATTTTCCAACTGAAGAAAGGGGAGATTTCTCCACATCTCCTGGAGCCGTAGCTGTGCTGTATGCTAGAAGCCTTCACAGTTGCCTCTGTTCGTGACACTTGCAACAGCTCACACCAAGAGGCTCTGGGTGTGAGACCCACTGGCAGACTTCCAAGTAGCCGCTGGCCCACCTGAGCCGCACAGGTGCAGCCAAGCACAGCGTTTCTGTTCTGTGTCCCTTTCTCTAACAGAGCCCTCACTGGTGTCCTTCTCATTGTAAAGGCGGTCCTATTCTCCTGTACGTGTCTAAATTGCTTATGTATGCAAAATGTTACTAACTACAGAGAGGCAGGGGTGGGGTCCTGTCCTCGAGAAGCAGGGCTTTCAGTCCAGGGCTCACCTCACATCTTCCAAGTCCAGAGTCTCACTGGTGAATTCCAGTATGTCCGCCGCTGTCCCCACAAACATGAGCAGCAGCTCTGCGAGCTGGTCTCGAGTGATGGTGCCTCCGATGGGCAGCAGCCACCTGCCAACGATGAGCATCAGCAGGAAAGTCTGGTGGAGACCCAGAGTCCAGTACTTCTCACACACTGTCGACAGGTTATTGACAAAAACTTTGGCCTGTGGAACAGCAATGTCACAGATGAAGAAGAACTGCGAGCTTCCACCTTCTAGAAGGATACCTTCCTCACCACGGCTTCCAATCAAGAGTTTGCTTTTGCAGATGCTTTCAGGAACTATTCTTTAGTTATTAACAAAAGCAACACTACTTTCAGCTGAACACTCTAAATATATTTTTTTAATTTGTCCCTTAAGAAGGCACCATGACCAGTAAGTAATCTAAACTTTAAGGGAAGACAGCACCATATGATACCCAAAAATTCAATTTCACAATGCTTTAAAGATCATTAGTCATTTTATTATATACTATGCTGCAGTATAACTCATAAAAACTTTATAAACTCCATGAAAACATAAAAACAATCTTGTGTTTGTGCTTTATAGATTTTAAATATGAATTTACTAACTTGGGAATATTGTTATCATGATACAATCTTTTTGTTTATTGTTACCTTAAAATACTGTTCTATCTAACCATGGGGAAATGTAATCATGGTTACCCATGCAGCTGAAGAAAGACAATAACTAAAAGAAAGATATTAACTGTAAAGTTACTCCTCCTTTCATTCTGAATATTTAACATTTCCAAGAGTTGATAAACTCAAAAGCAAATTTTTCTCTGCCTTCACTCTTAAACTATGAGAAATTTTTATATTCCATCAATATATTCTGGATGACATCATTTTAAATAAGTTTCAAAGTATATCACTGATCCTTTAGCCTCAAATCATTTTTTGCTTTTTAAATTTATTTATGTATCTATTTATTTTTTGGTACAGGGTCTCGCTACGTAACATTCTGGACCGGCACTGCATGCAGTACTGAAGATTGAACCTGGGTTCTTTTGCTTGCCAGGCAGGTGCTTAGACTGCTGAGCTTTCTCTCCAGCCTCAAATCTTTCAAAAATGACAAGGCTTTGTATCCCAAGAGGGTTTACAATGACCCCAACTTATTTTTTCTGTGGCTTAACTCTATTTGTGGCAAATCTGCCCAGCCCTCCTGACCACCTCTGGCATCAGATGCGCGGTGTAAGCTCAGAAATCCGCCAGCAACATAGAGGAGTTTCCTCCTCATATTTCTTTAGAGCTTTTCTGTGAAAAGCTTGCATATAGCTTGCTTAACTCACAGAGGAAGCACACTAATAAGATAAACATCAATATTTTAGATAAAATGCAAAGAAACAGAATTAAGTGACAGATAAGTTGTGCTTAGAACCCGATAACACCCAACGTCCAGTCTCTTCTTCACAGGATCTGAAGCCTGTCCATTTTTGAGAACATGTTTCAATGATTTGAGCCTTGCCTTCAATCTCTTCTTACAACATTTTAAAAGAAGTCATGGTCACCTTGTCACATATCAGACATGAGAAGAAAAAATGTCCTTCTATTTAGGCTAAAGTTTTTTCTATTTTGTTAAGTAGTACTTGGAAAGATAGAGAATGCAAAGTTGGTGGTTTAATAAAACAGAGAAACAAACAAACCAAAAGAAATATTAAAGGGGAAGGAAGATATGAAACTGTACTTGCTTACAGATAATATATCTCATGTAGAAAATGCTAAAGAAATTATGTTAAAAAAAACTTCTGTAAATAATAAGCAGGTTTGTAAAATAGAGGTTGAAACACAAAAGTCAGTCTTTTTCCTATATACTAGTAAGGAAGTGGAATTTGAAATTTTGAAATGCAATATTATTTACATTTACACCCTGTAAAAAGGAGGAAAATGTATGAAGAAAACTAGAAAATTCTGACAAACTAAAAGAATTAAATAGAAAGATGCTACCTATTCATGGACAACAAATCTCAGTATTGTCAAGATGTCAGTTTTCCTTAATCTGATCTACAAATCTGATGTGTTCCCACTCAAAGTCCAGCAAGAAATTGTAGGGACAGTGACAAAATGATCCTGAAGTTTATATGGAATGCAAAAGATCTACAATAGCCACACAATATTAAAGAAAAAGAAAGACACAGAACTGACACTACATGACTTCAGGATTTACTATAAACTACAGTAAACAAGGCAGTGAAAGAATCAATGAATAGATCCATACAGCAGAATTGACAGCCCAGACGTAGACCCACATAAACCCACAATTGATTTTTAACTAATTAGTAAAGGCATTTCGATTACAATGAAAAAGAGACACTGTTTTCACAAACGATGCTGGCACCACTGGACATCCACAAGCAAAAAGACAAAAATGCATCTAGTCCCAGAGCTCCTTCTCCTTACAGACATTAAATCAAAATGGATCAAAGAACTAAATGAAATATACAAAACTACAGAATTCTTAGGAGGCCATACAGTAGAAAGTGAACACAACTGTGTGGACATCCATGTCTTTCTTAGATGCAACACCAGAAGAAGGATCCATGGGGAAAAATAATTAACTAGACTTAATTAAAGTTAAAATTTTCTGCTCTGTGAAAGACAACCAGAGAACAAAAAGACAACCATGGACTGGAGAAATTATGCAAGAGACACACCTAATAAAGGGGATTAGAGGGACTGGGGAGATGGCTCAGTAGAATAAGCGTTTCCCTGGCAAGCGCAAGGGCCTGAGTTCAATCCCTGGTTCCGCAAGAAAATAAAATAAAGGGGATTAGATTTTAACAGATACCTTACCGAAAAAGACATAAAAATAGCAAATAAAGCTAAAAAAAGCTGCTCCATATCATATGCAATCAAGGAAATGTGACTTCAAATCATATTCAGCTGTCATCTACACTCATATTAGAGGGCCTAAATCCAGAGCATGGACAGCACGGAGTGCTACGGAGGATATGAAGCCCAAGAAGGTCTTGTTCACTCCTGGTGGCAATATAAAGCAACATAACCAGTCTGGGAGACAATTGTGAGTTTCTTCCCAAGCTAATCGTAGCCTAACCACACAATCCGGCAATCATGTTGTTTAGCATTTACTTAGCATTGAAAAGTTCTGTTCAGTCTGTCAAGTTCACATAGATGTTCACAGCAGTTTTATTCACAATTGCCAAACCAGGGAAGCAACCACAATGTTACACAGTAGGCAGCAGGCTCACAGGCTGTGGACAGCGAAGTGCTATTCAGCCCTAAGACAAGTGAACTCCCAAGCTAGGAGAAGAGGCGCGGGGACCCTGCATGTAGTACACAAGCGAGCAGGGGAATCCAGGCTGAAGAGCTGCACTCTTGGTGATCCGACCAGTGTGATACAAGCAAAAGGCAAAACAAAAGGGCTGGTGCAATAACTAAGTGCCTGCCTGGAAAGTACTGGGACTAGGGTTTAGTCCCTGGAACCAAGCACTGGAGAGGCTGAAAACAGGAGGATCACTATGAGTGCAAGCTGCATAGTGAGACCCTGTACCAAATACAAAAAAAAAAAAAAAAAAAAGACAAAATGAAAGAGACAGCAAGCAGGTCAGGGATGGCCAGTGGTGGGCAAAGAGGAGCAATGAATGTGTCAGCGCAGCTGTTTTTCTTTTGATAGCAGTAAAAACACTCTACATATTACAGTGATGTGTATATGTCACCGTATGTATGTTTTCAAAACCTATAAAATGTACAATGCCAAGAATTGACCTTACTATAAACCACAGGCTTTAGTGAGATGCACTTTCAATTCATCGTATTTTTTTAAACCATTAACCATGCTGATGATGGAGGAGATCGAGCACGTGCGGGGACCCAGAGCGCGGCCTCCTCGCCAAGGCCCCACCTGCTGCGTCCCGCCATGCACGCTGCGGCCGAGCACCTACCGTCTCAAGGATGTCCTCCACTCCTTGGGTTTCTTCACCGAGCATCAGTGAATGTTTGAAGCCATCTTTTCTGCTGGTGTTCTGTGCCATTCTTTCAGATTGAATACTGCACTCCTAAGAGTTGGGGAAATATGACAAAAATTGCTACAGTAAGGCTTCCGTCTGTTAAGAGATCATAAACAAACATGGGAAGCCTGTACACAATGCATTTATTTACCAGGATTGGAATGCAGACTGCAAGGAGAAAACTACTTTTCATGTGAAGCGAGAAGACTGTCAGCTATCCATGACTTACTTTGTCTGAGGGGATATAGATGCTCCAGTCACTGTGGAGAACTACAGAACTTAGGTATTGACAACAGAGGTTCCCCTTTGAGCCCTGGAACTGCCAGAATGAAGAGAAGCACCCAGTGATGGAGCACTGATGGGCCTCACCCTGAAACCTCGCTATGTAGAGAAGCACTCTATTTAAATAAATAATCCAATGTCTTTCCCTCTTGCCTGTGAAGCCTTGCAATGAGCACATGTTAGCATGCTTGGTATTACATAAATGTAAGGGTCAGTCCTGAAGTCAACTTATGTTTTCAAAAAATTGCACAATTGCCTGATATGACATGTTCTGTTCCTTGTTTCTTCATTGTGCATGTAAATTTCTGCAAATGAATCCTACAGTATTTTTCCCCAGGCAGTTCCTAGGTACCTAAGGTAGAGGAGAAGAAGGAAAAGAATGTACGAGAGGAGAGACCCAGCCAAGGCATACTGCACGCATGGAGTTTTAGAAAGGTTAAAGCCTTGAAACATCGACAGCGTTAATATATTTATGAAACACATATGCGTATTATCAGTTCACTGTCCCATCCGCACATTTTATTGAGAAATTAGTAAAAAGAAAAAAACTATAAATATTTTGTCTTAATTATTCTGTGCATGCCACTGCTCTTTCTATGCACTACTTGAGACAATAGGATAAAAAGTCTGAGAAGAAACTATTTTTCTACCTTCCACCCAAATAACAGGGTTATGAGTGGTGACAAGAACCATGAAGAACAATGGCCCTGTGCCACATCTCTAGCAGCAGAAGTGCAGCTGTTTGTACACTTGTGTGTGTGCATGCATCGAAGCCTCCAAGAAAAGAAAAATGAAGATTAAAATAAAAATCTTTAAACCAACTCACATGTATTGGTTGCTGAATAGTTTTATGCCTTGCTAGGAATTTAATTGTTGAAAGGCCACACATTTTTACCACTTTGTCCTGAGGCTCAAAATCACATATATTTTTGACATCCTTATTACTAAAAAAATCCATAAGCATCTTATTATTTAGGAAAAATTATTTTAGTGCAATATAAGCTAATTTGAGAGCAAATAGTTTTGCAGCTCATTTTATAGTGTGATTTATCCAAATTGCTCTTGACTGTCATTCTGTTCTAGATTGATGAATTTTCTTTTATGTGACAACTGCATTAGAAATGTAATGAATGGGTGACTTACTCCTTAGACCTAACTGGACTTATAATGTTTTTTGCTTACATTGTTTATAGTCATCAGTGTGTAGGTAATTTTTTGAAAAGGATTTGAGTTAGCAGTACAAAATCTTTTAATGAGCTTTTCATTGGATTTAAAAATATGTCTTTGGATCAAACCAGACTATGATACCATCAGGACCAAAACACTTCACAACATTAATTGTGACATTTCATAAATAAGCCTCTCCAGTGTCTAAGGTCACAATCACCATGAGAATTTTGATGCACATATTCCATGAGATTCATAAATTAAGGTATCAAATTAGTTATCTATGAGAAATGTCTTCATGAACTAGTTCATGATGTTTTCTGAATGCCAAGTCACAGGTCAGAACATTTAGGACAGAGAATAAATGGAAAAAAGGACAAAACTCTTTTCCATCATGAAAAACTTAACACATACTCATCTAAAACATTCATATATTAATTACATATTATACTATATCATATTATTACATATTATCATAATATGCAATATATTGTGAAGGTTCTATTATACTAAATTATATGTACCACAACTAACTTAATGAGCAGTGTTTATAAATGAGAAACTATACCTGAAAATGCTCTGAAATGTACAATTCCATAAAAAGAAAACTGATCATGACAACCCAAATTCCTGAGTGGGCCATGTGAATTGGTCTACCTTCCTTTATTCTATCATTTCTCAGGTTTTTAACTATAATTCCACCATTTTTTTGTTTCTCTTACTTCTCCTACTTTTATCTCTGCTTACCCTGCCTATTTCAATTTCTAGGCATTCATTTTAATTCTCAGTGTCAAATCCATTACTACTAAAGGTTCAATTTCTTTTGTAGTATGAAAATTAGAGAGGTACTGCCTGGGGCTCAAAAATCTCTTTTTATTAAAAAGAGAGCTCTTGGTTGCATGCGATTTGTTGTAATGGGATTTGACCTGTGTATCAATTAACTGCACAATGCAGTCATATTATGAAAGCATGTGGAGAAATGAGTTGTTATTGTGGAGGATAGCCATGTCATAGATCTGCACGCATAGAGCAAAAATGAGATCCAAACCACTGGAGTTTATTTTTATACCCCCCCCCCACAGTAGTAAGAGTTAGAAGGCAGAAAAAGTTCCCTAATTCCTGGAGCTACTTTTCTAAAAAGTCATAGTAATTTAAGCCAACCAATCTGCAGTTACAAAAGTCCTTTTGGTACAGTCCTATAGCATAGGACTTTAATGTTTGTCAGAAAGAAACTTAAGGAGAAACTAGGTTCTCTTCTCTGTGCCTAAAGTTTTGGGCAAGCGTTAGCCATACAACATTATATATTAAAGGCTTCTGTTTGCTATAAAATGGCTAAATATAGCAAAAAAATCTATAGGATCAAATTCTCAGGGATTTTGCTCATGTATTTTATCAATGAAGGTAAGAAATACACTAACCACAGTCCGATCTCAACCTTGAAGTCCTAGGTGAAATGTGGCAGCTTTGCTTCCTGGCCTCTCTGGAGTTACATGGGAGCAGGAAGGACAGGAAAGGACTGAACTCAGCCCAGAGCCTGCTAAGAGGCATTGTTTGTGTGGAAAGATGCTCAACTAAGGAATCTACATAGAGATTAGACTCATACCAGAAGCCACAGATTATTTTCCAGGTCAATACCACAGGTAAGCCACTGTTCCCCAAGTTCTCTCCTCTAACTTTAATTTCAGGGCTCCTACAGCACTGCTCATTGACTAACATGGCTCACAAGCTCCCCAACATGAACCTCCTATCTTGAAACCTATATTTTAAGTGGTGACTTCAAGCTTGAAAATGTTCCAATAGCACAAATAAAGTACTTTTTTGTTAATTTGTAATTTCCAAAACATCATTTTATGGGATCTCGGGTGATTGGGGTCCGCTCACAGAGAAACCCTTGGAAGCTGCTGGGCTTGGAATCCAACCTTCACATTCACATGAAATCATGAATATAGTGTAGGTGAAGGAGGTACTATTAGGGACAAGACTACTAACAGAAAATGTTAATTAACTCTGTTATCTTAATTCTGAATCAAATGGAGTGTATTTTATTCTTTGACACATCTTGGAGTTACTTTTTCTTGTCAATGCCCTTACGTATTCAATTCTTCATGACTCCAGCCCCTTAGATAGGTACACTTCTGAAATAAGTCAAGGCATACTATGAGTATGACTGCTGAGTATCCCAGTTTTTGATTTGCTGAAGGGAAGTACCTGAGTCTTACGATGCATTTCAAGGAGCCAGAATGATGGAATGATGCTGATCAGATATAAGAATATGGCTGGTGAAAACCTGTGAATGGAGGAGAAAGATCAGTCAGATTTTATCAAAAAAAAAAAACAATAACAAAAACTGAACAGAAAAGAAAAGAAAAGTAAGGAAACAAGTGAACACACACCCTGGTTACATCAAACCAACCCTTTCTATCTGAAGTGTTTATTTCCGTGGGGGAAGAAAGCATTATGTGATTTTTGCCATATGGATTAGAGAGAAACACAGTAACTGTAAAAGGCACCAGCAGCTGTCATTCTCACTGAATTTTTAATCCAATTAATAGATGTTAATTTTAATATGGTTTAATGGGACACTGCCAATTTGTTGCAGGCACAACACTGGGTATTTTGTATTTAGTATGTTTTACACAACGCAAATACAGCGATAGTAAATATCGGATTTTTCAGCATTGCAATTTCAGAATGATTGCCTCTATTTTTCAACATTAACCTGAAATTCAGAAAGCTCAAATAATAACATCCTGCTTGAACACAAAAATGTCAGATAAAAAGGATGAGAAATAAGAACTCACTGATGGTGTTGATTTGCTAAATCTGAAAAGTAAGATAACAAAATGTAGGCGAAGGGTTTTGGATTTTGTGAAAGGTTATCCTTCTATTCATTATTCTCTGAATCAGAATTCAGAGAAGACTCTTAAGAGTAGGCTTTGGAGGTCAGACACCCGGGAGGTCAAATGCCAGTCTACCACTACTTGTAAGTCTATTCCTACTCGTAAGTGGACCCAGGCACCACATCAGCAACACTGGCAGCTGTGCAATGACATCGTCCACAGGGCATAGGCAAGAGACACTGATGGTTCTCATAGATCTGGAGGCAGCGCAAGGTCGGGTGGTGACACTGTGGAGCTTTGGTGAGGACTCTTACCCGACTGTGACCCCGCCTTCCCTCTGCGTCCCTGACAGCCTTCCCTTGGCATGTGTGCTGGGAGACCCCACTCTCTTCTTTTCAGGACACCAATTGTATTGGTTGAGATACACACAATTATAGCTTCACTCCATGCTAATGACCAAATGAGTCTACAAATCCTGCCTCATCCAAGGTTAGGTGTTAAGTGTATGAATCTGGAGCGGGGGACTCAATTCAGTCACTTGGATCTCAGAGAGGCTTTTATCACACTGTTACTGGCAGGGGACAGCATCTAATACAAGGCAGGTATTATTAGTATATCAAGAGACATTGTGCAATTAGAATGGATGCTTAAAGTCTGAAATAAGAAAAATAATATAACTTCTAGATTTATTTCTTCAGTTTGCATTTTATTTTATATTGGGCTCTTGCTTGATAGAATATCTCAAAGTCAGTATTTTAAGTCAACATATTTTATTAAAATGCTTTTAGGACACCCTTGTACTCTGTGTGTGTGAGGAGGTAGGGGCTTCAACAGATGTGTTGTTATTCTTGTTGTTGGTGGTGTTCTTGTTGTTTAGACAAAGTCTCTCTAAATCAGGATGGCCTCAAATTTGTGATCCTACTGCTTCAGTCCCCAGGAGTTGAGATTACCAGATTATGTCAGCTGCCTAGCAACAGCAACACTTTTGAAATGAAATGCAGGCCAAACTAAATTATAATCCAATGAGAAAACTAAAGGAAGATAAATTAAAAAGGAAGCATTACAATGGATTTTTAAAGGTCATCAACTCTTTCATTAACATCTTTTTTCAGCTTCTGAGAGAACAGGGGAAAGGCAAGAGGAGAAAAAAAGTCTTTCAAAAATCAATATTTAATATAGATGCTTCCCTACCTTTGATCTCCTGCCCAAAATCAATTTTAAAACAAAAGGTTATGGTCAAGATATTACTAAAATCCAACTTGGAAGGTGGCCGGGATGCAGGGAAATAGCAGAAGACCATGCCGAGCAAGCTCTTTGTAAAAAAGGAATAAGCACTCTTCAACTTTTACATATCAAAGGAAACATCAAGAGAGAATTTCCTGTGTGAAACTGAGAAGGATGTAAATTCTGGTCAGAGGGGCAGTTGGAATATGTCAATTTTCTTTTGGGCACATCAAATGTTGTACAGAAATGTTACTGACTTTCAATTTTGAGATTACCTTACCCAATTGTGGGCTATAATAATAATCTGGGGAAACAATGCGCTGGACTCATATAGGCTGCTGAAAGAGGCGAGAAGTAAAGCAATGAGCATAAACATCTTCCACTCATAAGATTTATTTTTATATTTGGAAAAATACTCCTACTTCAATGTGTTTTCTTAAGAAACCATTTATATAAACACAAATATCTCAAGACTCAAGATTTTCTGTTATCTAGTATAGACAATCTAAGCTCTGTGCTCTGACAGTCATTCAAGGCCTCTGTTATCTGACTTTATCTCTGTTTCCTCTTCCTCTCAGCTCTGTGTTCTGACAGTCCTTCAAGGCCTCCGTGATCTGATTTTATCTCTGTTTCCTCATCCTCTTCCCCTAGGACATCCTACTGTGCTGAGCAACTCTACTCTCAGTTGAGTTGTGTTTTTAAAACAAAACAGATATGCACACTGGGGTTGTAGCTCAGTGATGAGGATTTGGTATGAGTTCCTGCACTGGGGGGGAAAATAATAGAAAGCTACTCCATCTCAATCCCTGGTCATTAGATGTATTTGAGGTAAACAAAAAAGGAGGTAGGAAGAAGGAATCATTCCAAAACTCCAGGAAGTAATTATATTTATATAATTAATATTATATAATTCTATAAATATAATTAATTATATTTCACTCAATCTGTATCATACTACAGTAATTTAGGTGCACCCATGTTTATAGCAGCATGATTTGTCATAGCTAAATCTTGGAAACAACCTAAATGTCTATCATCTGAGGTCTGGATGAAAAAGATGTGGTATTTTTAGACAATGAAGTATTACTCAGCTATAAAGAAAGATAAACTTGAGACTTTTACAGGTAAATGGATGCAACTAGGGACCATACAAGAAAATAAAACAAAGCAGACCTGTATGTATAGATATTGTATTGTCTCAGTGGTGTAAGAACATGGAAGGGTAAATAAAATCGGAAAAGTACAATAGATACCATAAAGGGAAAGAAACTGTTCAAAGGGAAGGAAAAACTGGGATGAGGAAAAGGACAAAAGAAAGGAAGAATTATATTTATGTCTACATACAGGGTAGTTTGGATAATTGTGCTACTGATTTCTAGTGGTCCACTGAAGGAAGCAGTTAATGCCTAAACTTTTCTTTTTCTTTTTCTTTTTCCAATTTTGCATGTTTATGTCTGGCGTCCGAACAACTAATTTAAAGAAAGTAATATGTAATAC